ACGCACACACACACACACACACACATACACACACACGTGCACACACACACACACGGGGGCACACACACACACACACACACACACACACACACACACACACATACCAGCACACCAGCACCACCACTGGCATAATTTTACCTGGATGAGCCTGATGACGTTGGAGTGGGTGAGGTGGGATACGGCAGTGTTGTTGATGCGCAGCACCTCGTCCCCAGCGAAGATGCGACCAGAGGCGTGCGCCGGCAGCAGCGGGTACACTTTTTCAACCACAACGGCACTCCGCACGCTGGGGTTGTCGTCCAGCCCACCACCTGAATCGTGACCAAGGAGAGAGAATGGGGGGGGGGTGTGCATGCATATGCATGTGATCGCGAAAGTGTGCATGTGTGAGTGAAAAGAGGGTGGTATGTGTGTGTGTGTGTGTGTGTGTGTGTGTGTGTGTGTGTGTGTGTGTGCGTATGTGTGTGTGTGTGTGTCTGTGTGTGTCTGTGTGTGTGTGTGTGTGTGCGCGTATGTGTGTGTGTGTCTGTGTGTGTCTGTGTCTGTGTGTGTGTGTGTCTGTGTCTGTGTAGACGCTGCCGTATCATCACTGTGAACCTACCCACCACCACCACCACCACCACCACCACCACCACGACTGACCTGTATTCTGAGGCCGAATCCGCCCGTCTTGGCCTTCTCCAGACGGACAGACCGTCGGTACCGAGGCATCAGCCCTCCATCACCATCACCCTGCTCTTGCTCTTGCTGCTGCTGCTGCTGCTGCTGGCCTTGCTGTTGTTGGAGGGCGGTGGTTGCGTCCGCGTCTGCGTCGTCTTGCATCACGGTCTGCTGCTGTTGCATCATGTCGGCTGTGCGCTTTCGGCGGCTCTCCGCATTGGCAACAGCCCGCATCCTGTGGCGCAGAGGTGGTGGTGGTGGTGGTAGATAGGGCACACAGGTGACGATGCGAAGACACAGACGGTGGCACAAACCGTAGAAGACGGACAGCGTGACGAGATGGAAAAACATGAACACAAGAGCGAACACACAGACACAGGAGCGAACAAACGAGCGAACGCGCGCGCGCACGCACGCACACACACACACAAACACACACGCACGCACGCACGCACACACACACACGCACGCACACACACACACACACGTGTTCTGCTGCATTTCGCTGAGGAGGCGCGCGTATGTCGGGTTCTCTGGCGTGGCGAGCCCCTGTGACATGAGCTGCACCTGCTGGATCCTAAGGGGCGACACGTGGCAATGTGTGATGATGACGGTGTGTGACGGCAGGTTGTGATGGTGGTGGTAGGGTTGGTGGGCAAAGATGGAGGGCACGGGCGATGGGCGGCAAGTCGGGTGAGCATGCGACGGTGCCAAGAGTGTGTCTGAGAGAGGGAGCCAGACACACACACACACACACACACACACACACACACACACACACACACACACACACACACACACACACACACACACACACACACACACACACACACACACACACCCGACCTGCCGCAGAGTTCGGTCTTGAGGACGTCGACGGTTTCGTTGAGGTGGACCTGGTCGGCATGGTAGCGCTCAATCGTGTCGCGCAGTGACATGTTCTCCGTGTACACGCGATGCAGCTTGCTCTGCCACGCCTGGTTGTCCAGGAACTGCTGCTGCGTGCTCTCCACAGCGCGCATCTGCCGTGTGGGCGTTGGTGATGAGTAGAAGGCAGGAGGGGTTGCATTGGCACGCGTGGGTAAGCGTGTGTGAGTGTGAGGGTGATAGAGACATGCGCACTCACACACACACACTCTCTCTCTCACTCTCTCACACACATACACACACGCACGCACGCACACATGCATGCAAACACACACGCACCCACTCACTCACACAAAGCACTTCAACGAACCGTGGCGTCCTGGCTCTCATGGCTGGTGGGGTCCGTGTCGTGGGCGACCGACGTGAGCTCGGCGAGGGCCTCCTGCAGGTGCTCATTGTACTGTCCACGGAAGCGGTGCAGGTCAAACAGCTCCCGCTTCAGCTCGTGGTTCTCGCGCGTCAACGCTGCAATCTTCTGCTGGCTGTGTGTGTGTGTGTGTGTGTGTGTGTGTGTGTGTGTGTGTGTGTGTGTGTGTGTGTGTGTGTGTGTGTGTGTGTGTGTGTGTGTGTGTGTGTGTGTGTGTGTGTGTGTGTGTGTTTGGAGAAGGAAGGAGGAGGTCGGAGAGCACGTGAGCGCTTGTGCTTGCATGCAAACCATGTCGCACCAACAGTAAGAAGGCATGCCCGCACACAAAGAGCGCGTACCTGATCTGGTGCTGCTGATACACGGAGACAAAAGTTGTGTACCTGTGGAGCAGAGGGCACCGGGTCAATGTGTGGTGGAGTGAGGCATGGGCACAAAGCAGGCAGGAGACATGGGGCAGACGACAGCATCCATACACACACACACACACACACACACAC